GATTGTAGTACTGGCTTTGAATTTTAGCCTTCAAGTCCTTCCAACAGCCTTCAATTAAGTTCGTATTGATACGCTCTCGAACATTGTTTCCTAGAACCTGATTATATGTGGCGTGATCAATCGAGTGATTTACAACTTGATGTTGACTACAAAAAATAGTCACCCGTAACATATTGTTCTTCGTTAACATAAGTATCGTTTTGGTAAGCATTTTGACTATCTTCAGAATGCAAGCTACTATAGGCGGCCCAGCCATCGGAACGAATCACCGAGCCACGACGACAATACTTATACAAAATTGGCAGTAAGGTGTACTGCGTTCTATTCGGCACCGTGAAAAGTAGGCATTGACCTCTTTTGTACTTATTAGGCTCGGAAGTGGAGATAGCTTCGGCAATACCAAAAAGCCAGCTGCCATCGACGCGTCTACCTCGATTATACTTGGGTTCACCAAACTTGCTTTCATCAATTTGAAGATGATGGCAGCCAGGGGAATCACCAAGAAGAGCAGTAGGCTGACCGCTCTCGTCTTCTTGTAAGACATGTCTGCGGTAATCACTTGAGATCAGGACAGCACAGTCTCTTGAAATACTTGTGAGCGCACCCTGGGAAATTGCTCGAGCAGAAAGAATATCGACGTGCACTGGAACACGGAAGTAATCACGAATAACACCTAATTGAATATGTAACTCCACTTTTCTGCAGTAGAAGTAGGATCCCATTGCGCATGTTTTCTTGTAGTAATCGTGGACGACTGAACGGGGACAGTAGAAGTATATTTGGTCCTTGGCGTCAGTACGAATGAAAGGAATCATATCCTTGTCACATAACGGATAATATTTGCACCTCATTTCAGAGTTGAACGCACCAATCTGTCTTAAATATCTAAATAGTTTGGTAAAGCTATTAGTTGATTTATTTAATAAAACATTTTCTGTAAAGTACTTATTGCATGGCATTTTCGTTATTTGACTCTTCTACAACTTGCAAATTTCTATCGCCTGCAGTTGGAACTCTGGAACGATAAGCTCTTCTGGTAACACGCGAAGGCATTGCAGCATCATCAACATTGTTGGAACGAGTATTTCTTGTGGTACGTGGCATATTTATTGTTCGAAAGAGCAACGAATAATACTTTGCTGTTTGTAAAACGTTATTGCATGCGTGTTGTTGAGATCAAACATGTATGTCGAAGAATTGATGTAAATTGTTTAAAATGAAGAGAAATGTCGTACATTTAAGCGTCGTATAGGTTCGGCAAAGAGGAATATAGTTGGAGAAGATGGAGCGAAAGCAATTTAGTAACTTATTTTAAATGTGGATCTCAAAATTCAACATTAGGTGCTCCCAAGATCGGGAACCGAAAATAAATAGCCCATTTTTTGTACAAAAATAGTGAAAAAAGTGTCTGAAATGTAGAGCTAAGGGCCCTCGCAAGCACATCAAACTATTTTTTAAAGATCCCGATTAAGGACATTAATTTTTTTTTTTTTTTTTTTTTTTTTTTGTGAAAGGTTACAGTTTTTCCAAATAGAATCTTTTAAAATTTTAATAATATATATGGACGATTAATAACAACATTGAATATTTTCAGTGCTAAAAAATCCGAATTGTCCAAACGAAGAATTAAAATCTGCAGGCCCCAAAAACCTTCTATCAGATTATTTAATGTCCAAATCCGAATACTGAAATCACGAATGTTGTTTTATTTTTCAATAAGAGCCTTTTATTTTTATCGATTTACTTTTTTTTTACCATCTCCATTTTATTTTACAGATATGAGTTTCCAAAATTATTCAAGTGCTGACTTCATCAATGGCCAACGCCCAAACCCTCCTGTGGTAAGAGGCCGACCCAGAGTAAACCCTCCGTCTGCTGCACAGATTCCCACTGACGTACCTGTTCCATCCTCTCAACCTGTACCTACCCCTTCTTCTGTACCTGCACCATCTTCCGAACATGTTCCTTTGCTGGTCCTGTTCCTTCTGCTGGTCCTGTTCCTTCTGCTGGTCCTGTTCCTTCTGCTGGTCCTGTTCCTGCTACCGAGCAAGCTCCTCCTCCTGCTGCTGAGCCAGTTTCTGCTGCCGATTCCGTACCAGAGCCTAACACCAACCTTAACTGGGATTCACCAAGCACACATGTATTGATTGAAATTTTTCCTGCGTATCTTGTTGAAGCGGGTGTGACTAGCTCAAATGAGGCAAAGGCAGCTTTAATCCAAAAGACAGAAAAAGCCTTCAATGACAACGCAGCCGTCAATGGCCGAAGAGACATCTGTGCCATGACCACTAAATGGCATGCACTTCATGCTAAGTATCGAAGCAGACGAGACGATGCTAATTCTACTGGTAGTGCACCGCTTCAACACTGGGAGTTTCATGATTTGATGGAGCAGGCAACAATACAAATGCCAACTACAAACCCGCCTGTTACATACAGCTCCCATTCCAGAGAAACTGTGGACAACCGTGGTGATTATGCCACCAGAAGACGTGGTCATTCAGAAGTCGATAATGATAATGAAGAGGATGAGGATGAGGATGAGGATGTCGTTCCTCAGGTAAATGCAAGACGTCCACGTAATGTAAGTGTGTCAATGTGGTTTATGGCAAACCATATGGAGCAAATGGAAGCTCAAAGCCGGGCTGAGAGAGCAGCTGATCGTGCTCGTATGATCGAAGAAAGGAATACCGATCGTGCACGTATGGCTGCTGAACGAGAGGCAGATATTGTTCGTATGGCTGAAGAAGATGCATACCGACGAAATCAACTGGATCATAACAACGATTACAGACGACAAAATACTGAGTTGTTAAGAGAGGCTACTTTGTCCATGTCCCGAATGGTAGATTTGTTTGCTGCTTCAATTGCTCAAAACAACAATGCCACTCGTGCTCCCACCCCTACCACTACCACCAGCAACAACAATCCCCCTTCTCCCAATCCTTCTACAGATAATATCATTTAAATAAAATTGAATAAAACAAAAAGTTTTCTATACTTATCTATTTCTATTTCTAAGTCTAGTTCTTCTTCTACTTCTACTTCTAGTTGCTCTTCTACCCCCTCTAGCCGCCCCACGTCTACTTCTACGTCTCATCAATTCCTCAAAAATGGTAATCCTTCTGCTACTACCGCCTACATCAGGTGCGTCTTCATCTTCAGGAACAGCTGCACTATGATCTTGAAGGTGAACAGTGTCGGTAAACCCGGTATCACCAAGGTCGATACACATATTGTGTAAAATACAACATCCGGTAATCACCTCGTTGATCTTCAACTGGTCCAACATGTAAATGTACTTGCCAGTAAATCTCCAACGAGCCACCAACACACCAAAGGCTCTTTCGATCGCCATTCTTGTAGATGAATGTACACGATTGAATGTACGCTTGCGACTGTCTAACACGCATTGACTCTCAGGAAATGGTGTGATCAAGTTGGGTCCCAAAGGATAGGCAGAGTCACCGATCATGAACGTGTTGTCAGGAAAGTGAATGTCTGGGTGGCGAAGAATTTCACTCGCTATATCACTTGATCGGAAAGCAGCAGCATCATGCGTTCTTCCTGAAGTAAATATTGTTGTGTTAGCTTTTATATTGTTTCATCGTAGATCATTTTACTACAATACCTGAGTCACCCACTTTGATATACGTGAATCGTAATGCAGAATCACAGACGGCAGTAAGCTTCACGGAATAGTTGTTCTTTCTATCCCTGAACATAGCACCCACGGTTGGAGGGGAAGGTTGGTGAATGATAAAGTTCTTACCATCCACAGCACCAATCACACCATTCAATCTATCCCCAGTGCTACTCCCAAAACCGACAGCGATCGCATTGGCTCTGATAGGGTCTGATGGCCATGTCAATAAATGACCAAGTTGATCCTTAATTGCTTTGAGTGTTCTTGTGGTGAAGTTGTTATAACTACCTGATGAAACACCCAAAAGCATATACGCTTGACGATATCCGATATGGCAATTAGCCAACCGAAATAAAGCCGTTGCGACTTGGATATAAATCGGAATAGTATTGGGAGCAACAAGATTGAATTCTTCGTGTGCCGAAAGCTCGTTCACCAAATGCTCAAAAGCACGCTTACCCATACGGTAGTTGGCGCGATAGCTACTGACCTGGTTTTCGTCATTGTCATTGAGGAATGGGTGTTCCAATCTCCAAAAGTGGTATCGACGCGATTCACGTCTACCATCAGCACTAATTACTGTTCTTGTTCTTTCTACATGTTCGCCCATCATGAAAATGGGGAGATTGTTAATAGAAACTCCATATTGATTGCGGTAGTTGCTGGCAATAAAATCATATTGGAGACGTTCTGCTTGGTAAAGTTCTCTACTGGAATGAAGAGTCGTCATATTTTCTACGAGGCGTTGTCCAGTAGAATTAAGAATTTCCATTCTATCTTCTTCGAGAGATTCAGATTCTTCGTTGATTCGAACTATAAGGAGCTGCAACTGAGACACGATAAACGCAATTTGTTGTGGGGTCATCATTCTGAAACTGTAATTTTTATCTTTTTAAAATAATAAAAAAATCGGTTAAACTGAAATTTTGTCTTTAAAAAATAAAGGAACAGATATTTTAGTAATCTGCAAAAACTTTATTATTAATCATTCAAATTGGGTCATTTAAAAAGCAACGTCATGGATTTCAGAAAAAGATTTCTTTTGGAAGTCTGAAGTAACCTTTCACAAAAAAAAAAAAAAAAAAAAAAAAAAAAAAAAAAAAAAAAAATTTAATGTCCTTAATCGGGATCTTTAAAAAATAGTTTGATGTGCTTGCGAGGGCCCTAAATTTGGGCAAAATAATACATATACATATAAGGAATCAAATAAAAACATGATCAAAGTGATCTTGTTTTCAAAACTGTTTACTTGAAAAGGAAATGATAAAATAACAAACGTCTTTAAATTTAGTGTTTTTATTTTTATTTTTCTTTCCTTTTAATTTGTCAAATACATTTTATGACTTACCTTACCATGAACAATACCGAAGCTAATAACAACGCCCCCAACAACGTACGTGGTCCTGGACGCGGTCGTGGAAATGAACATGGAGGCAGACGTAGACGTGGCAGACGCGCTGGCAACTTTGTCTTTGTTGTCGATCCTACCGTTCAGCAGAACACCACTCCTGTTAACAACGGTAACACCGAAGCTGGCAGTAACGCTAATGTCGATGATGACGATGAGCCTGAACAACTATCTTCACGGTCCTACAATGTATGGCCTAATGTTGCTATTTGTATCCTCCTTGAAATTATGGATGGTACCTACAGCTACTTGCTGAGAAGAAGCGATACTGCCTTAAAGCAGCCTATCTGGGTACATTCGGCTGCTTAGCTGAAAGAAACGATGGCTGAAAATGCTAGCACCGATGTACTCAGGGCTTTTTTGGCAGACATCAGCGAAACAAGTATGCAAAGAAAGTGGGCAGATATGAAGCAGAGTTTTACGAGAGTAAGAAATGCAGCAAGAGAAACCGGAGTTGGTGGAACTGTTCCAAACATGCCTTATTACGAAGAAATTGCTAAGATTACTCAGGATAATTCAAGCATCCAGCCTGAAGTGATCTACGAAAGCATCAACATGGAAGAGAGTATCAGTCGTACTCGACAAATTGCATTGGAAGATATACAAGCAAGACGGCGACAAGAGACCAGAGAGAGATACCGTATGTTCGAAGAAGTAAGAAGTAGACGAGAGGCTGACATGGAAGAGCATAGACGTAGACGTATGTCTGATATGGAGACTATCCTGAATAGATTCGCAGTCATTCGAAGAGGTGATAGTGATACCAATCTTAATGGTTCATCTTCTACTGACAATAATCATTAGTATAAAATGAAATTTTTAATTCATTAAAACCCTTTGAAAACTATGTAAGTCTATCTGTTCCCCTCATGATATTGTTTCTTCTTAAGATAGACATTGCCTTAAGACGGCGCATTCCTGCTGCGTCGATGGTAGCGCTGGTACCATCAAAAGGAAGAGGGGGTTCAAAATTCACCTCGTTTTCATACTGGTTTCGGCGATCTGCCTCCACAAATCCCTCGAAATCTAATCCTCCATCCAACACTGCCTCTTCAATGTCGTTTTGATTTATACAAATATTGTCTAGATCACAGCAAGATATAATATTTTTGGCCATTCTATCAACACTAACCATATACAAATGCTTCCAAAGGAATCTCCACCGGGATGTGAGTCCACCAAATGCATGTTCTATTTTTATGCGAGAACTAGAAAGATTTCATTAAAAATCTTTTCTTCCGCAGTGCTTTCCCGTCGGCCATGAAATGGAACAATGAGGTTTGGCAGCAAAGGGTAAGCCGAATCTAGGTCACATCATTAATAGCTTGTACACTATGGTATGATTAATGAGTTTACCTCCCAAAATATAAGTGTTTGCGGGACACCACCTGGCCGCATCAAACAAAAGTTTATGATAGATCACAATGCTAGTAAACACTCGGGCATCATGGTTTCTGCCTTAATATAATAACAAACGGTAAGCTGCTATATCATTTTTTTTCCTTCCATACGAACTTACCGAAATGCCCATTTTTTACGTAAATAAACCGAGTACGGGCATCGCATATGGCCATTAAGTTCATAGATGCGTGGCTCTTTCTATCGACATATGCATTTCCGTTAGTTGGTGACTTTTGAATGACGACCAGCTTGCTATCAATCGCACCTAGTACACCAGAACGTTTTGTGTCATCAGGTCCACCAAGTTCTGAAAACTCACGATCATTGCTTAAAGCCCTATCTCTGTCGTCGATAGGCCACGTTATAATTTCGGGAGTAATCTCCAACATGGCATCAATAAGTCTGTTTGTGAAATTATTGAGCGATCCAGCAGCTACTCCAAGATGAGTTTCAGCAATGCGATAACCAAAATGGGTGTTGACAAATCTCCAAAGCACACACGCAACTTGGACTTCAACAGAGTATCCACCGCGCAAAATCGATCCGAGATAAGCGGAACGTCTATTAAACGATTGACGAGCCACTCAAAGGTACTCTTGTTAACACGATAATGTGCTCTATAACTGTGGCGGCTGTTACGATCATCTAACAGGTTAGGGTGCTTGATTGTCCAGTAAGTTTCATACGTGTCCATACGCTCGGTTCTAACAACCCTTCTGTGGACTTCTCTGGTCATCATCCAAGGGCTGCTTATAAAAATATAATAAAAAATGTCGTAGTTGACAAGAGCGGTTGCATGTAAAATTGTTTCCCTGATCCAAAGTTCAAACAAGGAAAAGACATCTTGGTTGCCTTGGGTGCGGGTAAAGTCTGCAATAATGCGCTCTTCGGCAATGGCTACCGCTTTTTCAAGCATTTGCTCTTCCAAATCGCACTCTTCGTCCATTGCACTAATTTCGTCCACCAAGGCATCGAAATAGTGATCTTCGTCTTCGAAATGTTCAGCGTCATCTTCCATCAAAAGTTGTTCTTGCATCATGTCGAAGAAAGTTTCGTCAATTGGGTTCATGTTAAATAGGTACTTTAAAAAAATTAAGATAAGCGAAAAGGAAATATTTTATTTTTTATTTTCTTTGATTTAATAAAATCACGTTGGTCCTCTAGTAGATTCCTTTCGCTTAAAGAATTTTTACAAAAGGTATTTGCATCCAAATCTTTATCCCATCCATCCGTCATCAAAAATCGTTCAATCCGTTCAAATTTTTGTTGTATTCGGCGCGTCTCAATCAGCTCTATCTTTTTCAATTACTACGCTTTCACCAATCTCTTCGATCTCGCCTTCAATTTCGACATTTAAGACATTTGTGAAAACATTCTCTCGTATTTGCACATTTAAAATCGACATTCTTAATTTTTCCTCTGGATTATATAACAATGTCAACTCAAGATCATGTTTCCTGGTCAACTGTGGCTTCTCGCGGTGCCTCCAAGAAAGTCCTGCGTCCACTTCCTGTCTCTGGCGAGACTGATTCTCAATTCAAGTTGAAAAGTAACACCCTTTTCCATCATCCTGAACTTGATTACCAGATTATGGTACGCCAAGCTGCTTCTATTGTCAAGCAAGCACTGACGCCTGGTTCTGTTTTGTTTTCGTTCCCCGCTTCACTTTTTAAACATCGGACAGAAGCTTATGAACTCATTGAAGATCAATGTGGTGCTGTCCAGGGATTTCGTCCTATTAGCAATTATGGTACTCGCTCTGCTGGTGAATTCATGGTTGAAGTTAAGTTTGTAATGCCAACAAGCACTACAAAGGCAATCACTCACGGTGTTAGTTACAAGAACTTGTTGTTTAAAGGCTCTCCTTCTGTTCCTAGGGGCAACAATACACTTGTGCATGTCAAGATGACTCTTTTGCGAATTCCGGACAAGGATACGTTTCTGGCGGATCTCAAAAGATCTCTGCGCTATTACGGTGAAGTGTACCAGGTGAAAGAGTACACTTGCGGTGGGTACTTTGAAGGTGAGCTGTCGGTTATCCTTGATATCTCGGCTGGCTATATTGATGCTTCTGGTGACAAGGTCAAGAATGAGCCACTCACAAATAATTTGTACTTGGAGGAATGGGACTGTTTTGCTTCGGCAACATTTAAAGGTGCACCCACTGTTTGTCACTGGTGTCGTTTGGCTGGACACGCAAGGTCCAAATGCCCGGATTTGGCTAAAACCAAATGTTTCTCGTGTCATGGTAGTGGACATACCGCCAAGTTTTGTAAGAGGAAAAATCTTGGTGTTACAGAACTACCTGTTATGGATGAGATCTCAACTGATCTTCCCTCCCCCACCGTTGAGAGCCTCCACGCTCAAGTCCTGTCTGACTCGGACACAGATATTTCTGACGTGTCTACGTCCCCCAAGTTTGAACCAAGTGGCTCTGCAGCTTCTAAGTTTGCAACAACTGTTGCTAGTGTATCCATGGAGGTTGACAATCACATGAATACTACCACTCCTGCTTCTTCGACGGCTGGTCCGATGGTCGGAGTTACTAGTGGCGTTATAAAAGTTGCTGGTGCCAAGCGCTCGGTTTTAGGTAAGCATTCTGTCCCGAAATCAGGCGTTAAAGGTCCGCTTCCCAAATTGGTGGTTCGCACACCATCCAGTTTAAAAGGTCATAATTTGTTCACGAAGACAAAGGTTGTTAAAAAATAAGTTTTTTAATTTTCCCTTTTGATTTCTATAATTTTTTCATTGCTAAATAAACTCACTGTTAATACAAAAAAAAAAAAAAAAAAAAAAAGTCCTCTAGTAGATTCGAAAGTGAAAAGCTGTCACGTCATCACCTGATCATTGAATTTTATTTTATTGTCTAATTTAAGAAATGGGGTACACTCCCAGAAAAGGCTCGATCATCATTCCGAATTTTACCTTGAGAGCACCTATTATTATAAAAAAAACTTACATGAAACAAAAGAAAAAGTTTTTATTTCAGGGCCCCTGTGCCTTTTTAAAATCGAAAGAACAGTCAGAGATATTTATTTTTGTCTATTTTCCGTTCCTGGACAGATACAAAGAACTTTGTTCCATGTAGTCCGTACCATTTTTCTGTCTCTATCTACACGAGCGGGTAACGAATCTTTTCCCAGTTTAAAAGTCCGCCAGTTTTGGTCAGTTCTGAATTTCCACAAAACAGCCTGTGCTGAACTGGATGGAAGCGAATCGTATAAGAACTGCTTTAAAACGCCGACAAAACCTAGTAAAAGAATCATTCATGCTTATAGATTTACTACCAGCTACGAAAGTGGTGGACATACGATATCGAAATGCCCGGTAATCTAACTTTAAAGCAGATGTAGAACAATTTGATCAATAGAATTGGTAAAGCGTCCATTTCGAACTTTCAATAAGTGCTTACTTTATATCAATTAATTCAATTTGGGGTGTTCTCAAGCAAAAAAAATTTGTGAGCCCCTCTTTTTGTAAAAACTTGGAACCCCGCAAATTAGGTATAGCGTATGACATCAGGGCAGATTTTCGTCAGATTACTATCCTCCTGTAACTTTTTTTCTTTTTATTATTTTTTTCCCATAAATTTATTATTATCTTTGCCAAAATGTCTACTTTCGAAGAATCACTCAATGAGTTTACAACTGTTTACGAAGAATCAATGACGCTCATTAACATGAATGTAACCGCAATTCAGTGGTATATGGAACAACGTCAGTTGGAGATCAGCTTGCTTCACGAAGCTCTTCTTTTTTATTTTTCTTCAGTTTTTGATGTACCTTCCTTTTTTCATGCCTTACCTTTCCTACTTACTAACACACGTTCAATTCGAGTTCGTCCAAACAACAATGGGCTGTTTTCCAACTATCACTACTGGACAATCGCGCACCCTTTTCTCGCTGACGATGACAATCCACGCACTAGTTTTCGAGCAATGTATCGCATGAATCTTAGCAGCTTCGAAAGACTTGTCAACGGCCCCAGTCAGCATCCAGCATTTGATCTGTTAGCCCACAACAGCATCCCCGCATACATCCAGATTTCATGTGCTATATGGCACTTAGCCAACTGTCATATTGGTTACAGAACTAGTAACATGGCTTTTGGTGTATCGCATGGTAGTTATATCAACTTTTTCCGAAGATTTTTGGTTGCAATCGAAGGGGTATACGGAGATCTGATCAACTGGCCCATGGATCAGCAAAGGGTTGAGGAAATTCAAGCGGGTTTTGAATGGCCTCATGGTCAAGAAGAAGGGGTTATGCGTCGTTTTCTCAAAGCAATAGGAGCACTCGACGGTAAAAATGTTGTTATTGAGTGTCCTAGAGATCACCCAGAACATTGGCGTGATCGAAAGGGTAACTTTCCGATGAAACTGACAGCAATCTGTGACAACAAATGCCGTTTCACGTACATCCGTGTCGGTGACTCTGGTAATAGCGAAATATCTATAGCATGTTGATTGCCTTACTGATATGTATTTATAGGTCGCACCCACGATGCAGGTGCTTTCAAGTGGACTGAAGTGTACACCCAGTTTTTACGACAGCCGGCAACATTTATTCCTTTGGACGGTTACATTCTTGCAGGTTATTTATACACTGACTATAAAGTTAACATATAATTTACTTACACACCCTCTGTAGATTCTGCATATGCTCTCTGTCGTAATGTAATTGTTTGATATCCTTTGAGTGAAGTATCAGGCAATTCTGACGAGGCCGTCGCCAAACACAAATTCAACAAGGTCCACTCTTCAGCAAGAATGACCATCGAAAGGGCTTTTGGAATACTCTCAGCTAGATGGAGGTTCATAAAAAAACACGTCTACATGAAGAAGATTAAAGATATATGCCAAGTCATTACTGCGGCTTGTATCTTACACAATTTCTGTATCAACATTGGGGATCCAGATTTTGAAATTGACGAGGAAATCGAGATGGATGAAGATGAAGAGGGGAATGGCGAAACAGCTCGAGAGTCTGTTCGTACAAGAAGAGATTAGTTGAACCGATGGTTTCAACCTAGACAATAAAGAGGTACCAAATGTAATTTAACATATGTATTAAAAAAAAAGAATATCTTTATTGATTGGGTCTTTGTTGATGTATACGATTATGCAACTCGTTTAATCTATCACCGTTTCGTTCCAAAGCAGCTGTAGCTCGGTTTAAAGAAGCAATGATTGCTTCTCCCATAGGATCTCTTCTTCCTAATCGTGAATTCATATACTCTCTGAACTCTCGAAATGTTCCATTACGAAGCTCGTGCTCTCTATCAACAATGCGATTAAGCATAGCTTCAGTATCAGAGGTCGTGGTAGATGGTGTAGAGCCTACGTTTAATCTGGGACGACGAGGTGGCGCAGAAGAAGGATTGGTAGGTTGAGGGGCGGGAGAAGGATTGGGTGGTGAGGTCGTAGAAGGATTGACAGGAGGAGGAGGAGTACTGGAGACGTGGTCTGGAGGGGGTGTTTCCACTCTTCTGCGAGAAGAAGGTGGTTGCGATTCCTGAGGAGGATCAGGACGTTCATGTTCTGCAATAGGTACAGACGAAGATTCAGCTGGAGCTGTAGATGATCCTTGATTTCCACCATTAGTATTGTCAACGAACTGTCTGGAATGGGATGAGTACGTGTGTGGTGGCAAGATGGTGGGAAATTTCGTCAAGATCTCTTACAGCTTATCATAGACAACATCAGGTTCGAAACCTGATTCACCTGTTGATTGGCGTCTAGCAAACTCTTCCTTGAAATCTTTCACCATACGCTTCCATTTTTTTTTTTTGCTCCTCTGATGGTCGACTTCTCAAATTCTGAAGGCGAGCCAGTTGATTATGTTCAATCGACATCTCCGTGTATTTCTCCCCCTTTTCGTGATCACTTTTGGTTTTTTTAAGAGAACTCAAATGCTTATTATAAATTTGAATTAACAAGCATTCTTCAGCTACACTCCAATTTGGACCTCTTGTTCTGTCGTCCTCAATAGGAGCACTGGAGGTGGAAGCAGTTGAACTGGAAGGGGCGTTGAAGTTGATGGTACCGAACATTGTTTATAAAGGTAAAGTTAATATTATTTGCTAATTTTTAATATCAAAAAAATAAAGAAAAGAAAACAACAAAGTAAAAATTATTATGATCATACTGTCAACTAGTGGGGCTATTTTAGTATTTTTTGAATGATGAAAGCATTACATCAAAGGGGTTCGTAAATCCATTTTCGTAATTAAACCACCCCCTGATGGTGGTTTATCTTTTAAAATTGTTAGCAAGAATTTTCGACGTTTTTTGGCTGAGGAGTATGAAAATATAAGGTTATAATTGCCTTAAGGAGGGGGTTCCAAATTTTTACAAAAAGAGGGGTTCACAAATTTTTTTTGCTTGAGAACACCCTTGGTAACCAAAAACCAGGGCCTTTTTTTTTTTGCTAAAGAACATGCGAGATAGTGTCATGAACCGCTTAGGTTTCAGTTGTATATTATCATGCAAAATGTCTCAGATCATTATTGAAACCTAACTAGCCCATTGTCCCTGTTCCACCTGTTCCACCTGTTCCCTGTTCTATGTCTCCTGTCACACATGTCACTGTCAAACATCACTATTGTATCCTGTCTAACGTCTCTGTTCCAAATAATGTATCTCCGTTATCCCTTGTCCTTGTCAAACCCATTTAACACCCGTTTCCTTTGTACCTCTGCCTTTGAACTCCTTTGTAAAACATTAATAATATCAGCCCATGTTATCCTCTGCATCTATCCCCGAAATTATCTGTATCTATGCCCGCTTCCCCAAAGATGTCCCAAACTCAATATGACTAATAATCTGTCTCTGTATATCTGATCCCCGAACCCTTGTTTACCCGACCTGTCAATTAATATAAATAACAGCATGTTTATTTATTCTTATTTCTGTATTCAAGATCTTATCTATTTTTCCTGTTTCTTTGAATAAACCTTTTTCTACATTCCTTTTATATATATGTTAATACTAATAGATATATAATTTCTCTTTGCCTTGTCCCTCACCTTAATAATCATTCTGTTCTGCTCTTGCCCCGCCCCGCTCCTGACAGATAGATACAAAATTTAATAATCCAAGTTTTCCAGTGTCTGTGGATATGACTAATTAATCAGGTAAAGAAATACAACTGGTTTAGTATGTCCTTAAAGAAACAACTTTTTGTTTCACTGCTTCGTGCCCAAAACTATACAAATTTAAGACTGATTGAAATACGTTGCCAAAGTAACGTATTTAGAATTAAAATACGTTGCGGATTATGTATGTTTTACTACTGACTTGTATGTGATAATATCCAGGGAATGTCATAATCATACGAAAACTCCACCGTACTCTTATTCTCATGAAACTATTACGATTCCACAATTATATCCGACCATATTATCAGTCTGAGCGTTTTCTAGACTACTTTTTAATGTACAGAAATACATTACAAAAATCAGTATTGAATCAACCGCCACACAGAATATGCGATGGCAATGAATTATGTTCTATGGTAGGATATTCTAACAGCTTTTTGAACACATACCACACAATTAATAAAGTAAACTGTTTAATGCCATCATCAGAATACAAGAATAATAAAGTTAATCGGTTTTCGCTACGTAGTTCCGTTAAAACTTGGCAAATTTTCGCAAAGAAAATCTATACATTTTCCTCACTTCCAGACAGACGTTTATTATGTATCAAACGTACGAACAATAATAAAACGATACGGATGAGTCTATTAGTTTTACTTCCTGATTTCTTGGACTGTTCTTTCCAATGTTTACTACCCAATAAAAAGCTGCATGTCGTTGTTAGAATACCATTTGTATGCTGACTTGTATAATAGCATATCAAACTAATTATTCAATTGAGCCTGCTCATGTTATTCTTCTTTAATAGACCCCATTAGCTCCTTCATACAACTGCTACATGAATAACGGATTACATCTTATTCTTATTGTGATACATTATTTCTTTATTATAGTTGTCAGTACTTTAATGTCTACCTTTTATGCCAGTTGAATTATACACTGCCACTATGAGCGGCTGTCAATTGCTATATCGTAATATTTGTTATACGACTGCCCTTTGTTATTGTATGGTCGATATCCCAGATATAATGTAACGTTTAAATTATAACTTAATCACTGAAAGAACGTTTAATGTAAGTTTACTTTGACAATTGCCACTACAATCTCCTCGCATATCTCTTATTTAAGAATGATTGCTTTTAGAAATGGCACGGCCTTAGTATGAATTTGTAATTACGGGCCAACCGATCACATAATTGTACGTGAATTCTGTTCTACTCTTTTTAACATGGAAAAACAACGACATCCAAATTATTAATTGATAGTACATAGGAATCAACTACGTTCTATTGATAGCAATGAATTTCATTTACTGAAGCTATTAGTTCTGAAATTTAACATTGTTTTTGTCTCGCGTATAACGTTTCTTTAGCTTTTTGATATCTAAAATAGATACATATCGTTACCTGCGTTTTTAAGCGTTTTCCACCTTTTTTTTAATTCGTTTATTTTTTGGATACTGTTACTGGCTTGTTTAAGTGTAAAAGCGGTAACGTGAAATAAAAAAAAAGAATAGAGATTAAGATAAAAGTTCTTAAAAAGTGAGCACCAGACTATAAGTTGTCAACTAAGACAAAATAAGATATAAAGATATAAGAGGGAGATGCTACGACGAATCAGTTATCTGTGTCTTCGAAGGAGTATAGTAAAATACAACTGTTAAGACTATTCAGTGCTGATTTATAAGAAGGGCATTCGTACAATTATAGTAGTTATATATATTCATAATGAAACCAGGCTTATATGAATAAGACTAAATCAGATTATAGTAAGGAACAAACTAAAGATTTTATTAAATAATTTTATGGTCCTTTTATAAGAAAAGGAACAAAAAGCAGTCAAAACAATATAGGGATCTGAAGTCTAAAGGACCAACAGAAGAAGAAAAAGGTGGTGTAACAATACATATCGCTACGTGGGTTCGTAAATGTTTTCATCATTTTTGTGTACTTTTGTTTTTTTTTATTTCTTATGAAACAACAAACCAGTTGTTATCTAGTCGATATTAACTACATTCGCTTTGTTAAGTTCAGGTATTAGTAGTTCATATTTTACTTTTTGTTTGGTTATAAATAAAAGTCTTGTTAATTGGTTTAACAGGAATACAATTAACGACATCGGTAGTGTCTCCTTTGATTAAAAATCATGTTACATAATTTTTAAATTGTAATGCAAAATATTAGAAAATGCTTTCACGCATTGCAGATTGAAAACGCACAGAAAACAGTCGTCCTGTATTTAATCTAAATAATATTGTGTAATGATATCATTGGTAGTCAATCATCGGCATCTTTAGTGTCTCGAAACGGTGAGATACTTCGATCAATAAGAAGTTAAATTATTTGAGACTAAAAGTAGATATCTTTTAATTAAGTGAAGAGAATTGAAATATATTTTATTTCGGAAGATCTGATCGGAGAGTCGATTAGAAGTAAACATTAATATATTGATCAGGTAATGGATGATATTTCAAGGTTTGTTTGTTATTAGATAGTATATGCTATAGGCTGCATATAAAGTGTCTATATATTAAGCAGTGGTAGAATATAAAAGTAAAATTGCTAATACTATGTGCAGACCTGAGAAGCGTCACTTTAATTACTGATATCAAGCCAGTGTTAAGTATCTTTAAAACTACCGCTACGATTTCTCTTCTAGGGTTACAATAACATCCTGCAATTTAAAACTATTATCTTGTTTCATTCCTTAACAAACTTTTAACTGTCTGTAATTTATGATTCGACTTTTTAATATTTCTTTTGGCATATATTGGAAAATAATATAATCCCGAAGATTTTAACAAAAACCGTAATGGTTTTGAGACATTACAATCATATTTTATATATTTCAGGTATGAACAGTTTGAAGAAGAAAGAACTTTATATTAAGTTAGCTAAAATAGAAATAAGAAATCTTGTTTAAACTGATGTCGTACCTTTTTCGGTCTCTTAATAATAATTAGATATGAAATACACACCTCACCCCACTAATTTAAAAAATTAAAGATCATTTTGATCTCCGTGCAAGCTTAATTTTGACGTCAAATTTTCATTTTACTGGTAAAATCACAAAAAAGCACAAAAAAAAGTACAAAAAAAAAAAAGTACAAAAAAAAAGTACAAACGTCATCAAAAATAATTTTTTATTTATTGGCGGGAGTGGCTTTAGACTTTGAATTCTTTCTTTTATTTCGTATTAAAAAAAAAATGTTGCTCGTCGCTAACCTTGATTCTGTCACTTACACTCGCATTCGTGCGGAAGCAGATAGACGTAAAGCAGAAGATATGGACTTATGGTTGGAATGCAGACAAGATGATCCAATGATTACCTTGGAAGAGGTGAAGGCACTTATCGGTCGATACCACAATCAGGACGTCACCTTGCCTGAAAGACCCCGTGGCATCAGCAAGTACAATGTCTACTGCCAGCAAGAAAAGGAAAAGCTTCTTGGTGGAGAATCTGGGTCAACTTATTTAACCCCCAAGATTCTGTCTGAGGGGTATCAGAAACTGTCAGATGCTGAGCATGCCGAACTCGAAGCAACCGTTATGACGATGGAAAAGAGAAACGAAATGGAAAACCTGATTAATACGGGTTTGTCGAGACGTGAAGTTTGGGAAACTTTAATGAGTTTTCTCAAAGCCTTGAACCGGTTTCACGGCACAGAATTTATAGGAATTTTTGGGAAAAAGAAAACCTGGAACCATGTTTGTTGTGGAGGTATGGCTTTACATAATTTCTTTATTAAAATACTAAACTGTTATAAACTAGTGAACGTTAGTGAAATGGACTTGGGACGATGGAAAAAAGAAGTGAGATTGTACGTCAATCCCAAGTCCCGTGGTAACGATATCCATATATAAAAGCAAAAATAGCAATTACTACTCTAATTTCCAAACTTATGTTTACCCACTCCCCATACTCGTGAACTATTGCACAGTCAAATAGTTTCTGGTGTGAAGGAATCCCTCAGGAACTCAATCAGTAAGATCATAACCAATACAAAATAATCCTTGCCTAATCCTATGATGTAGATCGCCAATGCGAAACCGTGTATGAAAAAATACCTTGGAAGCAATTGGTGAAGTTTGAGGACCTGGGGGCAACAGTTCTCACAAGCCAAAATATTGTAGTCGAGAACTGGCTGTTGCCGGATTTTGTCCATAAGAAATTTATGGTAAGGGACAATTTCAAAATGGTGGAGAACAGTTTAAACGATCTTAAGTTTAAACTCTCTCGCCATTACACTAGGGCAGATTCTATTGAAACCAACAATGATTGAATAAAAAAACATCTCCTTTCTTCTCTTTTCATTTGTTTTAATTTTCTAAAAAAAAAAAAGTAAACTCTTATGAATCATAGGATAAGTTATATCTCAAAGGTTGGATTCGTAAAAAAGGCTATTATTTTGATCAGGCAATTAACACTCATGTCAATACATTTTTTTTTGTAAGATCGTCTGCAAGGTATGGTAATTGTTTTTTAAGTATTAGTATGGCAATGTTCGTATCTGTTCTAATACTGTACGTATCAGATACATTTTTTTATCGTTAAAATAAAAACGAAGTCGAGTTAGAGTGGCTCTTCGGAATGGCAACGTCTACGGTAAGAGCCAACCCAACATGGAGGTAAGAAACATTTTATATAACTCCTGACGATAGCTCATAGACTTTGACGCTAAGAAGTACATTGGCGTTAAAAAGTACATGGGCACTACAAAGTACATTGACGTTAAAAAGTACATGGGCACTACCAAGTACATTGACGTTAAAAAGTACATGGGCACTAAGAAGTACATTGACGTTAAAAAGTACATAGGCACTACGAAGTACATGGAAACTAAGGAGTATATTATTTTAGCAAGTACATTGATACAAATAAAATATTTAACGTTAAGAAAGACTGGTAATTCATATATTTAGTAGTGGCTACTCTCAAATGTATCAAACTTGCTTTTTATGTATCGTGTCGCTAATAAATGCTCGGTATCTATATCAGTGCTTGCAGCTTTAAGAAATATAAAACAATGCTATTAAAGACATTTTTTGTAACGGGGGGCATCAAGTACAGCAAAAGACATTCAAGGAAACTGTTTGCTCTCATTGGAAATAAAAGTGCCAAACTTTAGTACATCACCCTGACAGCAAGGGGTATAAATCTAATGAACTGCCACGTTAATAAGTGCTTGAAGCGTAGAATGTAAGTTGGTTGACAATACGGAAATTTGATTTAAAGTCTACCGTTGTATTAATTGAACAATAACCATCATCTACTATTAGCTTAGGTTAAGGGATCAAACTCCTAGTAGAGCCCATTGAGTGTTTGTGATTTATGAGGTTTTTTTAATTAGATGCTGATGGTAAAAGGGTATTTACCTGAAAAAAAAAAGACCAGGGATAAAGAATTCTGTGGCTTTTTTACAAAAATTAGATGTTTGTCACAACGTGGATCAGTTTCATTGGTGATTAATTGCGCCATCGACAGAAGAATTTTTTGTTTACACTTCAGCTTTTTTTTACAGGGTCTAGGCAGTTTTTGAGAGGGCCCCCACTTTTTTATATTTACAAAATCTCTCTGCTATTGATTCTTTTATGAAATAATTCATGTTTACTCCACATCTACTTGTCAATGTCGCAAGTGAGGTATACTAGAACAGACATATAACATACTGATATTATTTTATGCAAGATTGAACTTCCTAGAACTTTTACTCGAGGCGTAATCTCCCATGCAAGATTTCTAAATTAACGTAATTACATGGAAGATTTATGGCAAAATTTTTTTGAAGGTAAATGCGTTGAACATGTATATGTTTGAAGTACCAGGTAGTGTACGTTATCTATTGGAAGCATTCTGTCAGGACTTCTTCTACCTCATTCTTGACCACAACCCGAATTACCTTCATTCAAGCTTATTAATAAACACGCGCTGTTTGCAAAACTTTAATTTTTATACATCTCTACTTCAACCCTACGTCTCTTTCCGAGTCTTGTATAATATAGGGGGTCGTGTTAATACCTGTTACGGTTGTCTCTATATTAAACGTCCTTTTTATACTGGACGTAGGTGTATACCAGATCGAAGCATCTTAACAACGTAATAATAGGCACTTTGATATTTGGGAATTTTTAGAAAAAATCCAGGAATTGCGTATTGAGTACAACCATGTTTATTACAATTTCCTTTGTCATCAGAGACTAAATGAATGGAAGGTCTTTCATTATACTATGTATGTGAGTCCTACCAATGCAATAGAGGCGAGTATTATGTAAATTAGACCGACTGGTGCTCATTTTCCTTAGTAAATGACGTTTAAATTACCATTACTTAGATTTCGAATACGGTTGCTGATTTGTACATGTAGTATGGTATTGATAGATGCTGAGGGTCTGAATGGATATGAAGATTCAGCGAAATTTTTAAGAAATACAAAGGCAAGATGCATGTTATATTCCAAATTTAAGGTCGTTTTTGTGATATATATCTGATCGAAATTAAGACTACCTGTATTTTTCATGTTGAGGCCTGTTAAATAAATACCACAGTTTCACTCATTGTATAATATTATTTAAAAAGTGTTGCGATCAATTGTGAAGTGACACTATGAAGTTGCTCACTTTCATAAAATCTAAATGTAATGGAAATTTGGATAACAAAGTTTGAATTTTTAAGTATACTATAGAGATCTAGCAAACCTACACCTAGTTTTCTCAATTTCAGTAGATGAAGAAAAGTCTTTTCGATTCTATAAAGTTTTTTAAGAATGCCAATTTTATGTTTATATGACAGGTCAATATAAAGAACACGTTTACAAAAGATTTATGCAGGTAAATCTTTATATCACGTTATAGTCAAGATATATTTACCTCTCTATGATAAAAATATGTTTATTGAAAATCCACGTAACGTTTATTGTTGATAAAGAGGGTAGTGATGTTTATTTTTATGTCATAAAAAATAAAAACTTTATGTCCTTAAAGAAAGTATAATGCAATACTGTATTATTATCATTTTTTCTTTTCCTTTGTCAACTGTTGTAGAATATTTTGGAATATAATCTTATTATTCATTACAATTAGTTTTATGAAGTAACGGTAAATTATCTTCTCTTACAAATGTCTGATATATCAATAATTATAAGTACCAAACACAAATAAAATACTCTTATTATGCAATATCTTTTTTAAAGAACTAATTGATGCTAAACATTTATAAGATTGAATTAATAAAGTAGATATAATATTATGTTATATCTACGGGGATTTACTTTTATTTTTTAGACTAGACATATCCTAGATCCAACAACATGATTAGTAAAAATAAATACAGGTGGAGGAATCTAATTCAAAAATTATTTAATCATGTCGTATGAGAATTGGCATTTGATAACTAAATTGTAAGAGAAAACCACCCAAAGAAAAAATTATAATTGATGTTTGAAACTAAATCACCTTAATGCGTGATTTGATAAAATGATGAAATCACTCATTTATGAAATAAACCCACACCCACTCAGAGTCGTATCATAATTCATAATCACTAAAATACATTTAACAATATCATTTTTTTTATTTTTTTTTATTATGCATCATCATTTTCCTCCTCTTCCTCTTCTTCTTCTTCCTCTTCCTTCTCATCTTCTTGTCCTTCATCAACCAAGTTGACCTCGTCTTCGAGCTCTTCTGGGCTCACAACATCGGCACTTGCGATCAGGGAACTGCGAAAACCCCCTACATGGCCCAGGTGGTGTTTGGTAAAAGTTGACCACCTGGCGTTAAGTTCCATGGCACGTTGAAGGAGAACCCAAGCACCAGTTCCTTCAGCGTGCTTCGCAAGTGCCGAAACCAAATACTCCCTCTCTTTGGAGATACTTTCTCCTAGCCAGAAGACGTCTCGCTACAATGATAATTACTTATTAGTTCTCTTTATTATTTTCAAAACAATCTTAATTCAATATACCTTTAAACGTTTTCGCTCTTCTTTCAAGCATTTCTATCTGAGCCAAGTCGAGACGTCTTCTGACCAGTTCACCTCCCAAAAGCCAGTTTGCCTTGTCCATGACAAAGTCCCAAGTGACCGACTTTACGTTGTCTAATCAAAATGTCAGTGTTTTAATTGGATCTCTTATTGTAATGGAGGAAGTATCTACTTCTCAAGACATACCTGCATATGGGCTCTCTATAAACTCCTTGTTACCCGTGTTGTACATGCAGATAACATCGATCACCTGGGACTTTTGTTTCCGCATACCTTCTTGCAGCTTCCCGGCCTGACGAGTCCCTAGTCAAAAACAAAGTTAAATATCTAATATTGGATTAAACATTACAAGTACGTACCAATGTGGCCACTGTGGAGTTTATCCCCAAGGTCAAAGTAGGCTTGGACATTACTTCGTAAAATATCCTTGAACAATGCCTCTCTGACCTTGAGAAATTCCACCCATTGGGACTCGGCAAAATCAAAGTATGATGGCTCCAGAATGGTAGGTCTTTCGGAGACGTTACGACCGGCAGCCCTCTCGACATCAGCAAGATATTTTTCAATTGCACCCAATTGACTACAGAAGTAGGCCCTGCCGGTGGAGCTGACAATGTAATCATTTGCATTGCCATTGAGGATGTTCCTAATAATAGAGAAATGAATAATGAATATACTAAAAATATTGAACAAAAGGAGTACTTACTTAAAGCTAATGTAGACGCTCAAGCTCAAAGGGAAAGTGTGGGCGTCTACATAGCTTTTTGGAAGCAGATGTAATACATCAGTCCCAGAACATCCTCGCTCCCCAAGATTAGCTACTTGCTTGGCGTAACGCTCCTCAACACCACGGAAATGCTCAACAGACCACCTTTTAACCTTGTTGTCCTCTTTTGTTTTTTCGGAAACAAGGCGGCGGATCTTCTCCTTCAGAGTTCGTGCTGATAAAAAAAAATTGAATTAAGTATAGATCCGTATTATCCTCAAATAGTTAACGTACCCAAATTGAACTTGATGGCTGTGTTCCTGTACTTTACAGCCATGTACAGGACATACCGCCGGTTCTCGGCCATCATGGGTTTAGTCATGGTGATGTATTTAGCCAAGTAAGACCAAAGTCTTTAAATGCCCTCACCGTCAGTCAACCCAAAGTTGTCAATCAACCTCGGGTTGTACTTGACCTGACAGTGCATTACATGAGCGTAGGCATGGAAGACAGACAGACCCAAGCGGTCAGAACCGGCGATTCCGGGGAAGTTCAGCTAAAACTTATAAATTAGTGATATGATAATTGTCAATTTTT